CAGGAACGGGGGGAGAGACATCCGCCTCTTCAGCAGCCAGGCGAAGAAGTACTGGCGAGGAGAGTGGCTCGGTAGCCGGTCTAGAGACAGGTCTGTCTCCTGACCCACACGCAGCCGAGGGGGCTAGTAGTAGTGACGCGGAGACCCTAATTTGATGATGATGAGGCTGATCGCACTTGGCAGCCTCGTCGTCATCAGGCTATTGCTTCCGCATCATCAGGAGAAGAGGGTGCCAGCTTGCCAGCGAGCAAAACAGTCGGTGGGTTGCCCAGGAGGCAGCAGGGTCGCAGCAGTCAGTGGAGGCAAACGGCCACGGAGTAGAGCACCAGCTCCCACTGCAGCCTACCACCACGGCCAGTAGTGGTGCCGGTGTGCACGGAGGAAGTAGCAGTCAGCCAGTGAGGAGTAGCGGGGGCAAAGTTTCCTACTCGGCGGTGTGGCAATTTTTCGTCAAGCCGCCCGAGGAAGTAAACGTAGCCGTATGTCGACTATGTGGCCAGAAAGTCAAGCGTGGCCAGGGGGCCCATGTTGGGACTACAGCGTTGCGTCAGCATATGCAGCGTCGCCATTCGGTGGCCTGGGAAAACCGTGATAAAGATACGGCGGTTCTTTCTGCCTGCCCCCAGCCCCCGCTCCATCACCCGCTCCGTTACTTGCTCCGTCACCCGACGTCAATCGCCCTCTATCAGCCAGTCAAGGCTCCAACACCTCTGCTGAGGGGAGTTGTCGCTCGTTGGCATCTTCCGCTCGTTCAGATGCTCCTTCTCCTGCTACTCCTCTTCACGGATTCCGTCAGCAGTCTTTCTTGGGAATCCGTTTCCAAGAGACAACAGTTTGCGAGCACGCACCCGACGGTGCAGAAGCTGAACGTCCTCCTGTCCAAGTTGCTGGTGCTGCAGTCCCTCCCTTTCCAAGTGGTGGACTCAGCACCTTTCCGAGAAATGATGGCTTGTGCCGAGCCGCGGTGGAGAGTGCCAAGCCGGCATTTCTTCGCCAAAAAGGCAGTGCCAGCCCTGCATTCACATGTAGAAGAGATGGTGGGCCAGTCTTTGAGCATGTCGGTCTCTGCCAAAGTGCACGGCAGCGCCGACGTGTGGAGCTGTAACTACGGTCAGGACAGTACATGTCATTTACGGCCCACTGGGTGAACGTGGTGCCGGCACAGCCGCACCAGCAACTTGGACAGGTCACGCCGCTTTTGCCTCCACGTTTGCACGTCCTTGGTCCAGCAAAGATGTCCGCCTCTACCACCTCTTCTTCCGCCGTGTCCTCAGCCGCCACCCCCGTGCCAAGTCCCATTACCCGACCGGCATATCACATGTGCAGGGCGCAACGGTGTCACGCTGTGCTGCACCTGGTATGCCTTGGCGAACGTAGTCACACAGGGGAGGAACTTCTGAGTGTAATGAACAGAGAAAAATCGACAGATGGCTGTCTCCGCGCAAAACTGAAAATCGGAACCATGTTGACCGACAACGGAAAGAACATGGTGTCTGCTCTGCGTCAAGGAAGGTTGTGCCATGCGCCATGCATGGCTCACGTGTTCAATCTGGTTGTCAAGCGGTTCCTAAAATCCACCATCCCACTGCAAGACATCCTTAAAATGTCACGTAAACTTTGCATGCATTTCAGCCATTCCTACACCGCAAAGCACACCCTCCTTGAGCTGCAGCGGCAGAACGGAATTCCACAGCATCGCCTGATCTGCGACGTTGCAACAAGGTGGAATTCAACCCTACATATGTTAGACCGCCTTTACGAACAGCGAAAAGGCCATCACCGATTTCCTGATGTTACAAGCGGATAAAGGTACTCCCCTGTGTAACTTAGATGTCAGCCATTGGCAGCTCATGCGTGACACCTGCCGCTTGCTCAGGCCCTTTGAGGAGGCCACGCTATTCGTGAGTCGGCAGGACTATGGGATGAACGACGTCATTCCTCTGTTGCACGTCCTGGGAACAAATGCTGTTAACAATGGCTGGTCAGGGTGCGGTAGACGTGGCGCACAGATCTCAACGCCACATGACCCCTGTGGGGGCAGGACAGGAAGAAGAGAGAGGAGGTAGAGGAGGACATTGGTGCTCAGGAATTATTGAGTGAAATGGGTGGTTTTTCCACTCAGCGGACAGGAGTGGAGGAGCAGGAGCATCTGGTAGAGGAGGAGGAGGAGGAGACAGAGGACCCAGACGCACCGTGGCAGTATGCTGTGGAGATGGAGGCAGGGAGTCCCCTCGCATTCCTTGGCACAAATGGCCCATAGCATGCTCGGTTGCTTGCGTAGCGACAGCCGAATAATAACCATCAGACAGAGGGATGACTTTTGGCTGTCCACCTTGTTGGACCCTCGCTACCGTTCAAAAATGGTGGCCTTTTTCACACCTGCTGAGAGGGAGGCCAAAATAAAGTACTATAAAAACCACCTATGTAGTCAGTTGGTCTCTCTGCCTTTCTGCGCCAACGTCCATCCTCAGACACTGTGGGCCCTGTGCGCTCGCGTTCCGCTGCCATGGCAGCAGGGGAGGGGTGGGGTGGTAGGAGCAGTGGCAGCTCCACCAGCAGCGGCTGCCTCAGTCTGCAGTCGATGATGAGTAGCTTTCTTCACCAGCGCAGTGAGGAAACTACTAACCAGCCGCAGCAGCAGCAGCAGCATCAGGTGGACCTGGAGCAGGACCTCAAACAACAGGCTCGGGCCTACTTGGACAGCACCCTGCCAACCGAGGTAGACAATCCCCTTGACTACTGGGCAACGAAACTTGACCTTTGGCCCCAACTAGCTGAATTTGCCCTTGAAAGGCTGTCATGCCCGGCCAGTAGCGTGGCATCGGAGCGCGTGTTTAGTGCGGCAGGAGGTATTGTAACTCCGCGGAGGACACGACTGTCCACCCAAAGTGTGGAGAGACTCACGTTTGTGAAAATGAATCAGGCGTGGATTAGTCTGGATTTCAAACCACCAGTTCCTGACACAACTGACTAAATCCGCCATGAATCATGCCCCAAACATGTTATTATTTTTAACATAGGCCTCTGTATGGCCTTCAATTTAAGCTGCTTACGCTTCGCCACTCTGCCATGGGCCCCTGTACCGCCTCCTCTTGCTGCTGCCAGGTCCAGAGTGTGTCATGGGTCCCTGTACGGCCTCCCATTGCTGCTGACTTCATCGCCAGACTCTGCCATGTGCCACTTTCAGGTCTCCTTACACTGTTGGTGGGTTCCATTTTGTGATAGGGTGCTGTATGGCCTTCCATTGCTGCTGCCTCCACCGCCACCCTGCGCCATGTGCCTCTGTCGTCTGCTGCTCACGCTGCTGACGGCTTCCGCTTTTTAACCGAGGCCTGTGTTTGGCTTCCGAATACTGCTGCATCCACCGCCACCCTGCGCCATGTGTCTCTCTGTCGTCTGCTCACGCTGCTGACGGCTTCCGCTTTTTAACCTAGGCCTGTGTATGGCTTCAGAATAATGCTGCCTACACCGCCACCCTGCGCCATGTGCCTCTGTCGTCTGCTCACGCTGCTGCCAGGTCCATACTGATTCATGGCCCCCTGTACCGGCTCCTCATGAACGTGGTTCAGCGGGTTTGCATCACTTAACGGCAAATCGTTGACAAACGCTGGGACGTTCAGTGTTGTGCGCATTAAGCCAGACACCAAAGGGCAGCACAGACCTGTTATTACTCGCTCAAGCATGGCTGAACAAAACCAGTCTCTACCACAAATTGGACCCAGACCTGCCCAGGGTCTCGTAAGTAGATTGCACGGAGGAGTAGAGTTCGTTATTGGAATTAACTGTGAGGGACTTTTAAACCTAGGCCTGTGTATGGCCTTCAATTGAAGCTGCTTCTGCTCCGCCACTCTGCCATTGGACTCTTGATAGTCGACGACTATCAAGAGTCCAATGGCAGAGTGGCGGAGCAGAAGCAGCTTCAATTGAAGGCCATACACAGGCCTAGGTTTAAAGTCCCTCACAGTTAATTCCAATAACGAACTCTACTCCTCCGTGCAATCTACTTACGAGACCCTGGGCAGGTCTGGGTCCAATTTGTGGTAGAGACTGGTTTTGTTCAGCCATGCTTGAGCGAGTAATAACAGGTCTGTGCTGCCCTTTGGTGTCTGGCTTAATGCGCACAACACTGAACGTCCCAGCGTTTGTCAACGATTTGCCGTTAAGTGATGCAAACCCGCTGAACCACGTTCATGAGGAGCCGGTACAGGGGGCCATGAATCAGTATGGACCTGGCAGCAGCGTGAGCAGACGACAGAGGCACATGGCGCAGGGTGCTGGCGGTGGATTGCAGCATTATTCTGAAGCCATACACAGGCCTAGGTTAAAAAGCGGAAGCCGTCAGCAGCTGTGAGCAGACGACAGAGGCACATGGCGCAGGGTGTGCGGTGGATGCAGCAGTATTCGGAAGCCAAACACAGGCCTCGGTTAAAAAGCGGAAGCCTCAGCAGCTGTGAGCAGACGACAGAGGCACATGGCGCAGGGTGGCGGTGGAGGGCAGCAGCAATGGAAGGCCATACAGCACCCTATCACAAAATGGAACCCACCAACAGTGTAAGGAGACCTGAAAGTGGCACATGGCAGAGTCTGGCGATGAAGTCAGCAGCAATGGGAGGCCGTACAGGGACCCATGACACACTCTGGACCTGGCAGCAGCAAGAGGAGAGGAGGCGGTACAGGGGCCCATGGCAGAGTGGCGAGTGTAAGCACCGCATCATTGGTGGCCCCCCGTACCGCTTAAAATTGAAGGCCATACAGAGGCCTATGTTAAAAAGTCCCCCAGCAGCAGCGTGGGGAGACGACTATTAGTCGTCTACCCACGCTGCTGCTGGGGGAATTTTTAACATAGGCCTCTGTATGGCCTTCAATTGTTCCTCAGCTGCTTACGCTCCGCCACTCTGCCATGGGCCCCTGTACCGCCTCCTCATTGCTGCTGCCAGGCCCGTAATCTGCCATGGGCCCCGTATCGACTCCTCATGCTGCTGCCAGGCCCGTAATCTGTCATGGGCCCCTGTACCGCCTCCTCATGCTGCTGCCAGGTCCAGAGTGTGTCATGGGTCCCTGTACGGCCTCCCATTGCTGCTGTCTCCATCGCCACACTCTGCCATGTGCCACTTTCAGGTCTCCTCACACTGCTGGTGGGTTCCATTTTGTCATAGGGTGCTGTATGGGCCTCCCATTGCTGCTGCCAGGCCCGTAATCTGCCATGGGCCCCCGTACCAATCCTCATGCTGCTGCCAGGCCCGTAATCTGTCATGGGCCCCTGTACCGCCCACATGCTTCTGCCAGGTCCAGAGTGTGTCATGGGTCCCTGTACGGCCTCCCATTGCTCCTGTCTCCATCGCCACACTCTGCCATGTGCCACTTTCAGGTCTCCTCACACTGCTGGTGGGTTCCATTTTGTCATAGGGTGCTGTATGGCCTCCCATTGCTGCTGCCAGGCCCGTAATCTGTCATGGGCCCCTGTACCGCCTCCTCATGCTTCTGCCAGGTCCAGAGTGTGTCATGGGTCCCTGTACGGCCTCCCATTGCTGCTGTCTCCATCGCCACACTCTGCCATGTGCCACTTTCAGGTCTCCTCACACTGCTGGTGGGTTCCATTTTGTCATAGGGTACTGTATGGCCTCCCATTGCTGCTGCCTCCACCGCCACACTGTGGCTCCACACTCTGGTTTTGGCCCCGTGACTGCCCAAATGAGACCCTTTTTACACGTTAAATTTGCAGCGAATATATTCGCCTCGAATCAAATTTATTCCGCGAATTCGGCGAATCAGCCGCATCGAATTTTTGAATAATTCGCTCATCTCTAGTATAGTTACAGTTGCAAGAAAAAGTATGTGAACCCCTTGGGATTACGTGGAGTTTTGCATGAATTGGGCATAAAATGTGCTCTGAACGTCATCTAAGTCACAACAATAGAAGAACACAGTCTGCTGAACATAATACTACACAAACATTAGATGTTGCCATGGTTTAATTGCACATAACATGTAAACATTCACAGTGCAGGGAGGAAAAAGTATGTGAACCTTTGGACTTAATAACTGGTTGACCCTCCTTTGGCAGCAATAACCTTAACCAAACGTTTCCTGTAGTTGCAGATCAGACCTGCACAACGATCTGGAGTAATTTTGGACCACTCCTCTTCACAAAACTGTTTCAGTGTAGCAATATTATTAGGATGTCTGGTGTGAATCGCTCTCTTAAGGTCATGCCACAGCATTTCAATCGGGTTGAGGTCAGGACTCTGACTGGGCCACTCCAGAAGGCGTATTCTGTACTGTTGCAGCCATTGTTTTGTTGAATTACTTGTATGCTTTGGGTCATTGTCCTGTTGCATCACCCATCCTCTGCGGAGCTTCAGTTGGCAGACAGATGGTCGTACATTTTCCTGCAAAATGTCTTGATAAACTCTGGAATTCATTTTCCCATCAATGACAACAATCCGTCCAGGCCCTGAGGCAGCAAAGCAGCCCCAAACCATGATGCTCTCTCCGCCAAGATTTACAGTGGGGATGAGGTTTTGATGTTGGTGTGCTGTGCCTTTTTTTCTCCACACATAGTGTTGTGTGTTCTTCCCAAACAACTCAATCTTGGTTTCATCTGTCCACAGTATATTTTGCCAGTAGTGCTGTGGAACATCCAGGTGCTCTTTTGCAAACTTCAAACGTGCTGCAATATTCTTTTTGGACAGCAATGGCTTCCTCCGTGGTGTCCTCCCATGTACTCCATTCTTGTTTAATGTTTTCCTTATTGTAGATGTGTCAACAAAAATGTTAGCATGTGCCAGAGATTTTTGTAGGTCTTTAGCTGACACTCTGGGATTCTTCTTTACCTCATGCAGCATTCTGCGCTGTGCTTTTGCAGTAATTTTTACAGGACAACCACGCCTAGGGAGAGTAGCAACAGTGCTAAGCTTTCCCCATTTGTAGACAGTCTGTCTTACCGTGGACACATGAACATCAAGGCTTTTGGAGATACTTTTGTAACCCTTTCCAGCTTCATGCAAGTCAACAATTCTTGATCATAGTCTTCTGAGAGCTCTTTTCTGCGAGGCATGGTTCACATCAGACAGTGCTTCTTGAAACCAGTAAACCCAAAACAGGTGTGTGTTTTTTAAGGGCAGGACAGCTGTCAGCAACACATCCAATATCATCACACTGATTGGAGTCAAGGTTGGCTCACTCCTGGCTCCAATTCGCTCTGGGAGAAGTCATTAAGCTAGGGCCTCACATACTTTTTCCTCCCTGCACTGTGAATGTTTACATGTTATGTGCAATTAAACCATGGCAACATCTAATGTTTGTGTAGTATTATGTTCTGCAGACTGTGTTCTTCTATTGTTGTGACTTAGATGACGTTCAAAGCACATTTTATGCCCAATTCATGCAAAACTCCACGTAATCCCAAGGGGTTCACATACTTTTTCTTGCAACTGTACATGAGATCTTTTTCTCTGTCTGTTTACCTTATCATCTCTCATTGTATGGTATTTGTTATTTGTTTTACATTGAGATTTTCATTATCACATTGTATCTCTTTGTACTCATATTTTTTGTATGCTCTGTACTTTCCTAATAAACTTTATGGAAAAAAAAAAAAGTTTGCAAAAGACCTGGGGCACCTTTGGGCACTCCAAGGAGAATACAAAGGTAGCGAACATAGCACCCACAGCAACAGTGGGTGTGGCCATTGTATTAACAGTGGGAGGGGCTCAAAGGGGCATGGTTAAATAACACCTGATCTGTCTTCTACCCTTAAAACATGCTTTAATTTCTGTGCCACAAGTGAGAATCGAACAGACATGTATAAACCTCAGCACAATTACTTAAAAAAAAATGAAATGGTTCCATTACATATGCTTTTGTGCACACTGAAAATAAGCATAGTGCTAACACTTTGCCTCAGTCTGCCTTAAAGAAAAACTTTAAACATTGCTGTCCTAATCTCCACTACCACTCTTTACCGACCTTTGGCTTGTTCCTTGACTACACTTTAACTTGACCCCAACCTGCAACCACTTGTTACTGACCTTTGGCTTATTTACTGACTATACTTATGCATTATCCCTACCTACTATATCTACTACTGGACGCGGCTTGCTCACCTCCTGGTGGGGGGGGGGGGGGCGATCCTCAGGACCGCGACCTGGTACTAACACACAGCAAAATGCAAAACCCATCTCCACCATCAGGAGCTCACTTGAATATAGGTTAGTGTTTAGATCTTGCACCTTGGGTGAGCCTGTGTTATCTGCCAGGGTGACCTGCTTGCATACTTATCCAGCTGGTCAGTGGGAACCTCTCTACTGCTATAGCTACTAGTCTCTGAGCCTGACCCCTGACAATCACATAGGGATTGCTTAGCAACTGTTAAGCAAAATAAACACTTTAGTTAGGAATATATAATGTACAATAGTATATAATTTATGTGTCATATTGCATGACTCTGTAACACACAGAGTGCAGGGGGTAGAGGTGTGTAATTCAATGAGTGCAAGGGTCAGAAATACATAACACACAGAGTGCTGGGGTCACATGTATGTAATGCACAGAGTGCAAGGGTCAGGGATGTCTAACTCAAAGAGCACATGGCTCAGGAGTACGTAACACAAGGAGCTCAGGGGGTCAGGAGTGCAAACTGTACAGGGTGCATGGGTCAGGAGTATCTTAGGACATAGTGGTCAGGAATGTGTGAGGCAAAGAACACAGGGGTTGGAGTGTTTCAGACACAGACAGCAGGGATCAAAAGTGTGCAATACATAGAGTGCAGGGGATCAAAAATGCATAACACACAGGGCAAGACTCAAAAATGCAAGACACACAGGGCAAGACAGAATGCAGGGATCAGAAATACGTAATGAACAGAACTTAGAGGTTATGTATGCAAATAACACATAAAATATGCAGCACAGGGGTCAGGGGTGCATAACACAGAGTGCAGGGGTTGGGAGTACATAATGCACAAAGCTCAGGGATTATAATGGTGCATGTGCAGGATGCTCCCAGTAAAATCCTACTCACAGTACACATTTCTCAAACCCCCACCCCCCCATATCTCCCCAGCACAGATCTCTCTCTCTACCCTCCAAATCCCACAAGTATAGTCCCACCTCCTGCTACAAACTCACCCACTTTCCCAAGACAAGCCCCCCTAGCCCCCCAAATCCACCCAGCATAGACCTTTCTCCCCACCACACCCCCATTCACATTCACCCAGTACAGTTCATCCCCCCCCCCAAATCCCACCAATACAGTTCACCCTCCTCCAAATTTACCTAGTCTTTCTCCCATTCTCTAAACCACCCAGTAGAGGTTTCTCTCCCTTCAATCCACCCAGTACTCTGTCTCCCCACATTCCCTGGTACAGAACCCTGCTAATCCCCCCAGTACAACCCCCCAAAAAAAACCCCACCACAGATCTCTCTCCCCCCACAAATCCATCCAATACAGATCTCTCTCTGACACCCCCAAATCCCCCCAGTCATATCTCTCTCTCTCCACACTCCCCCAAATCTCCACAACACAAACTGCCTCAGCCAGTACAACTCTCTCTCCCCCCTGTACAGATCTCTTCATCTCCCCAATACAGCTCTCTCTTCTCCCTACACCCCCAAAATTTCCTTTAGTACAGAGCTCTCTCCTACCAAAAAATCTCCCACAGTAAAGTAATCTACTGCCACCTTTCCTAAAGTCCACTCACCAGACCTCAGACACTTCTCAGTGATTGGAAGTCAAACCCTTGATTGCATCATTTGACACTACATCAGAACAGAGAAGGAGGCTTTCTTGGCACTGTACTCTATCTGAGGTCTGACAAGGGAACTGGACAGTGCTGCAGTACAAGTGTCATTGCAGTTGTGAAACTAAGAAAAAGAAAGTAGGCGGTAGAGATGTTGGACCTGGGGCACCCTGCATGAGATGCAGGGCATGTGCCCTGGGAGCCCACTGGTAGCAATACCCATAGTCCAAGGAAGTCCCAGCAGAGGTGTATAGAAAATCCCTTTATTATTGGTCACAAGGGAGTTTGGAACATCTGAAACAGTGAATTCAGAAAAAAAAGAGTTACTGTTAAAGTAAATGTCACACCCACACATTTGCAAGCTAGAAAGAGTCAGAAATCCTAAAGCAAGTTCAGGGAGATCTTGTCTAGTTTTTTACATTTGGTGTGTCATGTCTGACCACGGTGGACTATCATGCCTGCCCAGAGGCCATAACAGTGGAACATTTGGGGTTAATCTGCTCCAATATGGAGCATGTGTGTCTAAGTCTTCTCTGATGACTAAGTGCCCTGTCTGTCTAGAAACATCCGTCATTTTTACCATTAGGCCAACCAGGTGACTCAGCTGCCTGTCTTTACTGCAGAGACGTGTACTATTTTACAAACTTCCAAGTCCTGAAAACATGGTGATGCTCGTCTTAATGACTTTCAATTGGAAATTCTGTCCTTTTTCAGATGATCCTGTTGAGAAATGGTGGAGCAGATACAGAGAACAAAGCTTTAATATTTTACTGTAATTATTTCAGTTTTTACCCTGAGAGATATTCATGGTGACATCCTGTGTGGTTTCACTTGCCTTGACTGTAACATACAATTATTAGCTCTCGGAATGAAGGATGGTGGTTTGCAGATTATAGCATGCTGTAGTCG